CTGGTACCATGTACCATGTATCTCAAGAGTGACTGGGCACTCTTCATGTAACTTGGGTACACTTGGGGTATTGTACCCCGTTACAACAAGACAAGGGGGCATTTGGATACAAGGGAAAGTCAGATTTGGTGGAGGGGCACCAGAACTCTGGCCACTACATCTACACGGTTTCGGAGCACCTGCTACCTTTCGCCCACAAGAACTACGGTACAGACTTTGTCTTTATGCAGGATAATGCTTCAATCCATGCATCTCACGAGACCACATCGTTTTTCGAAGAGATTGGGGTGCAGCTCCTTTTCTGGCCTGCTCACTCCCCCCATCTTAATCCGATTGAGAATGTATGGGCAACTTTGGCCAGAAAAATCTAAAATCACGAGAAGCAGTACAATTCAGTCGCAGAGCTTACTGTTGCCGTCATGCAAGCTTGGGAATCAGTGACAACGAGAGAATTACACGACCTGCTGGACTCTATGCCATCTCGCTGTTTTAAGGTCGCCTGCGAAAAGGGAGACAAAATGACTATTAGGAACTTGGCTACATTTCCTTTTTCTAAAATCAAGCCAATTTGTGTCCCTAAGTTTTGTCCTGCTGCCAAATCGATGTAGTTGTATGCCAACCCCCGCACACACTTCGAAATCTAGATTGTTAGCACAATCCCTCCACTCTCCTTTATGATTGGAGATACATATCTAAACAGCGGCCTCTAGTTCGACCTAGAAACCGAGTTATGACCTAGAATGTGAGTGTCCCAAACTATTTGTCGCGAAGTGTAGTAGAGGGTACAGAATCATGAATCATGAATTCTCCAAATAAAAAGAGGCGTAAACAGTCGAGCGCATGTAATACAGTGTTTATGGATAGAGACGCAATCATTCAAGTACTGTCTTTGAAATCTCATAGAGTACTGCACCGCCCTCAGACCTTTGATAAACTTCTGGATATCATGCTTCTCTTGCCAAATAAACTGAGGTTTCTATGCTGAAACCTAATGTGATGGCAAATCATATATGGAGTACCCCTGCGAAAACGGGGCACATTACTGTACTTCATACACCATATTCTTGAAGTTGTGGTGTTGTATGACCTTTTCATGCAATTTTTGCTCAACAAAGTATGGAATTTTTTGTCTAAATCATTTTAGAACTATTTCTACGGTATGTTAAAAGAGATTATTCTGTAGTGTGAGATCTCAAATACGGTAATACAATGTAGGGATTCACTTATAGTGAATCATTATACAGAGGAGACAGTCAGCAATCTCCACCAATTTTGCAGGACAATTTGTCCTGTGGGACATGCATACAAAACAAAAACGCTCAGGTCGCGATTATCGCGTTCTTGCAGTACACAACTCACTTTAAAAGCGATAATATCTCTGCGAAAGCATTACCGTTTGAACCTTCTGTAGGTAATTTTACTGCCATAACCGTACAGATATAACATTTTAGAGCGCTTAGTG